AGAACCCAGAAACCTAACATTTTGCACCCATACTAAGTGGACTCTGAGGGTTTGCAACTGGGTATTATTTCTTATCTACGTGCGTGCTTACATGCCCGTGAGCATCTTTTTATGTGAAAAACCACATAGAAAAAAGTGTGCACGTGCGTGCGCGCATGTGCATCTTTTTAACTAGGCAAGCTAGCGAAAACCACATAGAAAAAAGTGGTTCCTTATATTACAAATAGAAATCACAGATAGACATACACGCACATGTGTGCGTGCACACATGCGTGTCAGTTTATGTATGACCATAGCTCCAAGAGGAAAGAACCTAGAAACCTTAAATTTTGCACTCATACTAAGTGAAACCTGAGTGTGTGCATCTGTACATTTTAATGAGGCACGCTAGCAAAAAAAAACACATAGAAAAGAAGTAGTTCCTTATATTACAAAATACTGAGTGGACTCTGAGGGTGTGCACCTGGGTATTATTACTTATTTTATCTACATGCGTGCGCATCTTTTTGATGAGACAAGCTAGCGAAAAACTACATAGAAAATAAGTGGTTCCTTTCATTACAAAAGGCCCGGCGTGGCCAGGTGGTTGGGGCGCTCGACTCGCAATCTACGGGTCGCGGGTTCGAATCCCAGACACACCAAATGTACTCGCCCTTTCTGCCATGGGAGCGTTATAATGTTACGGTCAATCCCACTATTCGTTGGTAAAAGAGTAGTCCATGAGTTGGCGGTGGATGGTGATGACTAGCTGCCTTCCCTCTAGTCTTACACTGCTAAATTAAGGACGGCTAGCACAGATAGCCCTCGTGTAGCTTTGCGAAAAATTCAAAACAACCAACCAAGCAACCAATCATTACAAAAGTGGATCCGAAGGCAGTAAACCTGGGTATTATATTACTTATGTTATCCACGTGCGCGCTCGCATCTTTTTAATGTTTTTATGTTTCTAGGAAATAAAAATGTTTAAAATATTTTAGACTGTTCTTCTATGCTAAAATAGGTTCAGAATACAAACACTGATATAGCCATCTAGAATATATCAACCTAATAACTCGAGCGAAGCCGGCTACTTTCGCTAGTATTAAATAAAGCCCATATATATATATATATATAATTGTTTGAAGATAATCGCCTGTAAATGCACAAAAAATTGTGGAAATACCGTCTTAGTTGTAACGGAGAACGAGGAGGACAGAAATATGAGAAATAATAGATAAGGAGAGGGAAGTAAATAAATCCTTTACATACATATTTTAGCTGCATTGCAATACATGTCTTAGCTATATTGTCAGATACATGTTTTAGATGTATTATTATTATTACATAAATGTTTTAGCTATATTGTTAAATATATGTTTTAGCTGTATTATTACATAGATGTTTTAGCTGCATTGTAATACGTATTTTAGCTGTATTGTTACATACAAGTTTTAGTTGCATTGCAATACGTGTTTTAGCTGTATTGTTACATACATGTTTTAGGTGTATTGTTACGTACATGTTTTAGTTGTTTTGTATTATATATTTTAGCTGTATTGTTACATATATGTTTTAGCTGTGTTGTAATATATATATTTTAGATGTATTGTTACATATATGTTTTAGCTGTGTTGTAATATATATATTTTAGCTGTATTGTTACACACACATGTTTTATCTCTATTGTTATATACATGTTTTAGCGCTATTGTAATATATATGTTAGCTCTATTGTTACATACGTGTTTTAGCTCTATCGTAATTTAGTGGTGTGAGCTTGGAAGTATGGAAGATTAATTGATATTTTTTTATGTTTATACTTTTTTGAAACCTTTTGTCAATAAGTGAAATTCACCAGTTGTAAATTTGTAGAAAATCAATAGTTTACAACTTTTACACAAACAGAATTTGGGTGTTCACCTTTTTATTGTTTGGTTTGAAAGAACACTATGTGATTTTTTCCTAAATACATATACGTTTATAAATCAACAGTATTCGGCTATTCCAATTTTCTACAAACACCACTACCACGATTAAAAACACATAATTTTCATAATAGGTAGCTATGTAACAGTATATTAATTTAAAGTCAAAATGCAAATTGATACTACAAATAACTAAAAATGAAACAAATTTCTAGCAAACACTTGTTTCTTGAAATAATATACGCTAATATCTGTTTGTTTATTTTAATTTATAGACCGAATTTTTAGAATTATGCAATGAAAACGAATGACGTATTTTGCCTCAAACGTTGATATTAAAATAAATATATAATAATAATAAATCCGTCACAATTGTTGTTCATTTATACTTCAATAATGATTAGCGGGTATAAATATTCATGATGTTGGAAAACATCTAGAAGTCTTGATAGAAATGAATAAAAAACTCTAAAACCCGACCGCTTTCGAAAGATGGGATTTTCTTCTTCAGGGTCAAAATGGGAATTAATATTTAATGTTTGAAAATAATTACAATATTTTATCTTATTATTTACTCTAGCTTAAATAGAATCTTAACATTATGTCTTATCAATAGTCAAAGGTAATAAAATAACCTACTGACTAATAGAACCTTAACATTATGTCTTACTAATAGTCGAAAGTAAATAAAATAACCTACTGACTAATAGAACCTTAACGGTGTGTCTTATCAATAGTCAAAAGTAAATAAAATAACCTACTGACTAATAGAACATTAACGGTGTGTCTTATCAATAGTCAAAAGTAAATAAAATAACCTACTGACTAATAGAACCTTAACATTATGTCTTATCAATAGTCAAAAGTAAATAAAATAACCTACTGACTAATAGAACCTTAACATTATGTCTTACTAATAGTCAAAGGTAATAAAATAACCTACTGACTAATAGAACCTTAACAGTGTGTCTTACTAATAGTAAAAGATAATAAATTACCCTACTGACTAATAGAACCTTAACAGTACGTCTTATCAATAGTCAAAGGAAATAAAATAACCTACTGACTAATAGAACCTTAACAGTATGTCTTATCAATAGTCAAAGGTAATAAAATAACCTACTGACTAATAGAACCTTAACATTATGTCTTATCAATAGTCAAATGTAATAAAATAACCTACTGACTAATAGAACATTAACATTATGTCTTATCAATAGTCAAAGGTAATAAAATAACCTACTGACTAATAGAACCTTAACAGTATGTCTTACTAATAGTCAACAGTAAATAAAATAACCTACTGACTAATAGAACCTTAACATTATGTCTTACTAATAGTCAAAAGTAAATAAAATAACCTACTGACTAATAGAACCTTAACAGTATGTCTTACTAATAGTCAACAGTAAATAAAATAACCTACTGACTAATAGAACCTTAACATTATGTCTTACTAATAGTCAAAAGTAAATAAAATAACCTACTGACTAATAGAACCTTAACAGTATGTCTTATCAATAGTCAAAGATAATAAAATAACCCACTGACTAATAAAACCTTGACAGTATGTCATACTAATAGTCAAAGGTAATAAAATAACCTATTGACTAATAGAAACTTAACAGTGTGTCTTACTAATAGTCAAAGGTAATGAAAAACACCTACTCACTAATAAAACATTAACAGTATGTCTTATCAATAGTCAAAGGTAATAAAATAACCTACTGACTAATAGAACCTTGACAGTATGTCTTATCAATAGTCAAAGGTAATAAAATAACCTACTGACTAATAGAACCATAACAGTATGTCTTACTAATAGTCAAAGGTAATAAAAACCTACTGACTATTCTTTACATGAACAATTGAAGACTAAACAATTCTAATGATGATGATTTATCTTCAGTATAATCTACCTAATGAAGCCAAGCTAACTTGATTAGACATTTCAGTTTTAAACTTTAACATATCACTAAGACTAACTTCCTGAGATTATCTCAGAAGTGACAGGAAACATCTCGGGTTGTTAATGCATAGCTTGGAATTAAACAACATGAAATTTACGTTCTAGTAGACAGAGATAATCTGATCTATTCGTGATTTTTCAAATGTCCTCTTTAAATTGGAAAATCTTTCTTTTCTTTATTACGTATGTTATATCTAATATCTTTGACAATAAATATAACGAAAAAGTATACTGTCTTTTGGAATCAGTTGAGATGTGAATTCTCCAAACTCGAAAACAGTCACACTGAATTTATTTATCATTCTGATCATCACACTACATCTCACTTAACTTCAATCGATTCCGTCGTTCAAGGTTCAGTCTTATAATATTGTTTTAGATATAATACTAGGTTTAAAACTATACTCAAAGACCGTTTTAAAAATCATGTTGTAATTTTCAATCTTAAATAAGTTATGTGAAAGTTCTGAACTTAAGAATACTTCTTTGGCTTTAAGTCTGTATATTTTAGAGCAAACTACACTACGGGTAATCTACGCGGATATAGTGACCTTCTGTTCATGTTAAGATGTTTTGTTAAAGATTCACGGATATAGCAACCTTCTGTTCATGTTAAGATGTGTTGTTAAAGATTCACGGATATAGCGACCTTCTGTTCATGTTAAGATGTTTTGTTAAAGATTCACTGATATAGCAACCTTCTGTTCATGTTAAGATGTTTTGTTAAAGATCCACGGATATAGCAACCTTCTGTTCATGTTAAGATGTTTTGTTAAAGATTCACGGATATAGCAACCTTCTGTTCATGTTAAGATGTTTTGTTAAAGATTCACGGATATAGCAACCTCCTTGTTCATGTTATTCAACATTCAGGACGGGAATCTTGAGCGTATTTTAAGTGATTTATTTATAAAAATTTTAAACGGGACGGATTTTTTTATATATAAAGGAAAACTGAAACTGAGTAGGACTCGAACCCGTGTCTCTATTTGCCGTCCGACCTCAGTTTTCACTTCTTCGGAAAAACTTTCAATTTCTTATAATGATTAAAATCCTGTTTTAATCTTCAATTTTAAATAAATTAAAAAGCAACAACCTAAAGATAAAACTGTGTGGATGATACTTACGTCAACTCTGACGCCACCAAGCGGAAGAAACTGCCCAGGAGGCCAGTCGTTAGGAACGTAACGGTAAAATTCAACGTCATCCTTGTACCACTTTACCGAGTACAGTGTGTCACCGTTCAAGTCAAAACTACAGGTGAGCTCCACCTCTTGACCCACGACAGTCGGTGATGGAACGTCCAACATCACCAACTGTAGAGCGGTGGCAGGAGAAATGACTGGACAAAACCATGAAACAAGGGTCAGTAAATATTCCTCAAAGTCTTGATTTCAGCTCAATAAAACTGACAATATCATGGCTATTAAATTCTAATAAACATTAAAAATAAATCTACAAAAACATGTATATGTCTTTCAACAATTATCTATAAATACCAGATAAAACAAATGATAAAAATAATTGGTAAATAAAACAATTTAACAACCAAGTTCTTAATCCAATCCGGCACACTCGTAAACATATATATGACTGACCATAGGTATTGGAATACATTTGTTCAAAGTTGAAAATATTATCTTTATATCAAACCTTAACAATGGAATCAATTAGTAGTGCGTGTTTCGGTGATTAAGTGTACAAATTACTACTTTTCTTTAAAGACAAAAAATATGTTATTTGGCACTAAAAGTTGGTATTAATTTGTTGGTTTTCCCACCAGTGGCACAGAGGTTATAATATACTTGGATTAGTGTCTACTGGTGAACAGTCACAACGTATAATAATCCCAAGAGGTTATAATATACTTGGATTAGTGTTTACCAGTGAACAGTCACAACGTATAATAATCCCAAGAGGTTATAATATACTTGGATTAGTGTTTACCAGTGAACAGTCACAACGTATAATAATCCCAAGAGGTTATAATATACTTGGATTAGTGTCTACTGGTGAACAGTTACAACGTATAATAATCCCAAAAAGGTTATAATATACTTCGCACATTAAGAGTTTAACCACCTTAGAGATAAAATCTTTATATTAGCTCTAGTTGTTATTGGAAGCCTTTTTTAATATAAACAACTTGGAAATATTAAACTAGTTATTGTGAAACTCATATAACTGAATGGTTAGGTTGAAACCTAATTATGACTATTTATAGATTTAGGTACTGGTACGGGTGTTAATCAAGCGCTGCATGCGTATTATTTAGTACGACCTTTGATACATCATTTCTATACCATTGTCTCTTTCATACAACCTGGCATGACCTGCTGATTATGAGGCTCAACTTCAATCTGCTGGTTCCAGAATCGAAACCCGTCCTCTAATGTACTCACCTTTTCAGACGTTACCATCAATCCCACTATTTGATGGTAAATAGTAGCCCAAGAGTTGGCTGTGAGTGATGTTGATTAGCTACCTCCCTCTAGTCTATCATTTCAGCACAGCGCGTAACTGAGCTTGTAATTAAAACAACAATAACTGTTTTAACTTACACACATTGTTCAAAGGTTGGTCACAGAACTATTTTCTTCTCACCCCACCTCTTTCGTCTTCGCCTTGTATCAATTAAGCATCCACTGTGACATCATAATTTGGCACAATATATAACGAAGTTACATGATAAGGTTTGTTTGTGCCACTAGGGAGCTACGTGATAAGGAATCGGTTATTTAGAAAACAGAATGTTGCAATCGTTTTTTCTAACTCAGACGAACGCTACTGAATTTGAAAGGAAGTTTCATTACTCCAAAGTTTTAACTCATAAGTTGGATACAGAAGAGTGCATACAATTTTGCTTCCTAATATAGATATCAACTTCACAGAGAGCTAATTATAATTCCTAGAAAAGTTTGACCTGATGATAAGTAGTTCAAATGAACAGTTTTATTACCCATTTTACGATCCAGATGTTTTCATAGTAAGAAGTAATTCCGTTTAAATGGCCGTTAAAAGCAGATGTCGAAATCATGTCACTCACTAGTAATTACTTTTTGGCGTGCGATTACCTGTATCTTATGTAATAGAGATTCCATCTTTGGTTCTTTTGTTACCCAGCAACTAAAACTTTCCATTACTTTACGTGTCTTCCTAATGGCTAGAACAACAGCCTTGTAACATAGCTGCAACGAAGAAGTATCACTAAATAAAAACTACGATAAATAAGTTTATAGCTTATTGGAGCTGTTGGTGTTCAGCAAACCATCGAATGCAATTGAAACATTTAAGGTTCATTTAAGGAATTTCTATGTATACTTCAGCTACTTTTTTCATTACTATTCCCGGAAAGACATCTGATGGCTTGTTTACTTTGATGGACTATCCACTGAGCTAGACAACTAATCACTTTAACTTTTTAAAACAGATTCTAACAAGAACAACACTTCTCTCAAGCTACGCTAGTTGGGAGGGGAAAATAAAACACCGACACCAGAGACGGGTTTTTAATCGAGGAAATGATCATCGTTGTCTAACAGGAACAACATTTTACTCAAGCTACACTAGTTGGGAGGGGAAAAAACACCGACACCAACTCAAGCTACGCTAGTTGGGAGGGAAAAAACACCGACACCAGAGATGGGATTACAATCGAGGAAATGATCATCGTTGTCTAACAAGAACAACATTTTACTCAAGCTACACTAGTTGGGAGGGGAAAAAAACACCGACACCAACTCAAGCTACGCTAGTTTGGAGGGAAAAAACAAAACACTGACACCAGAGATAGGTTTTTAATCGACGAAATGATCGTCGTTGTCTAACAAGAACAACACTTCACTCAAGCTACGCTAGTTGGGAGGGGAAAAAACACCGACACAAACTCAAGCTACGCTAGCTGAGAGGGGGAAAAACAAAACACTGACACCAGAGAGGATTTTTTTAATCAGTTTTCGTAGGCTAATTTTACAACGCCTGCTTTTTTATGACGTTTCTTCTTTTCTCTTTGAGTCATGCCCTGGTATTTATGGCATTCGACTCATAATCTGCAGGTCGGGGATTCGAATCGAGTCATCCAGCATACTCCCCATTTTAGCTGGGACGACATTAGAATGTGACAGTCAATCCTACTATTGGTTAGTAACGAGTAGCCCAAGAATTGCAGGTGGGTGGTGTTAACTAGCAGCCTTCCCTCTAGTCTAACATTTCAAAATTACAGAAGGGCTAGCGCAGCGTAGCTCTGCGCAAAATTCAAGAATTCAACAAACAAGCTCTGAGTCATTCTAATTACTTGATCTAAGACGAGACTTTTGGTGAAATATATTTACCATCTTAAAAAGTTATTTACCTTTCATTACGTTGTTATGAGATTAGGAATGGTTAACTAAATGATACAATGGATAGCATACAATAATTTAGGTATGACTTTACAATAAAGTGACGTTTAGTTTAAGTTAATATACCAGAAACAATGTGTGGAATTTGCTAAGACACTTTCAAAATACTATGAGCTAAAATGTTGTTTTAACATATCTGATCAAAACATTTTATACTTACGATAAAAGTCAGGTTAAAATAAAGGAATCATCTGTAAAGATATGACATTAAAAAAAGACGAGATATGTAAAAGGCTAAGCTCTGTAAATTTTTAACGTAAAACTGTATAAACTACACAGGAACAAAATTATAAAACTTGGTACTTTTTATATTCCCGACGTTACTGGTTTTTCCAGTTTTAATAAAAAAAAAGGGAGCTTAACTTACAGCTTATACATAAAGAATTTTACATGGTTTGTCCGTTTTATAAAACTTGGCATTTTTGAGATCTCATCCTTATAAGGCTGACACCTTTTGTATAATTTGATTATTTTTTCCATGAAAATGTGTTAATCAGATACCACAGTTTTTCGTTTTGACAAGCAATACGTATATATTCAGTAAATGGGACTAACTCTTTGACAAGCAATACGTAGATATTCTGTACATAGGACTAACTCTTTGACAAGCAATACGTATAAATTCAGTAAATGGGACTAACTCTCTGACAAACAATACGTAGATATTCTGTACGTAGGACTAACTCTTTGACAAGCAACACGTAGATATTCTGTACATAGGACTAGCTCTTTGACAAACAATACGTAGATATTCTGTACGTAGGACTAACTCTTTGACAAGCAATACGTAGATATTCTTTACATAGGACTAACTCTTTGACAAGCAATACGTAGATATTCTTTACATAGGACTAACTATTTGACAAGCAATACGTGGATATTCTGTACATAGGACTAACTCTTTGACAAGCAATACGTATTTTTTCAGCAAAT